AGACATCAGCAGTGCAGGAATTTGGGTACAGAGCAGGTGGTGAGACTTCCCAAAGCAACATGTTTTGGTCTTGCATGAAGCACATAAAACACTGGCAAATTAGTGGTAATCTGATTAATGAGAAATATTTGTTCCTTCTACCCCTAGGTTCCTGAAGTATTTAGAAATAGCAGTGTCCTCCACAGCCCGTTAAACTGGATCCAAACCTGTTAGAGACCAAGTAGGGAGCAGCTTATGAGTATGGGGCTACCAGGAATCAGGAAAATGATGAAGAGATGAGAGGCCCTTCACATACTTTTTGCAGGGCACACAGAGAGACAGCTCCAGCTAGCTGGAGCACGCAACCCTAAACCTTTACTGAAAGCAGACAGTTACAAGACAGATTTAAGAACTGCACAGAGCTTGCCCTTCTGCTTACAACCATGGCTGATGCAGAGGGTTGGCTTTGGTTGGCTGCCAGATGCTTTCCCACTCCTCCTCCTCAGCAGTCCATGGGAGAAAATGAGATGAAACATCTCATGTGTCGATAAAGATGGGGAGATCACTCACCAATTACTGTCACGCACTAAAAAGACTTGATTTGAGGAGAATTATTTTAATTGATGCCATCTAGAACAAAGTTGGATGATAACGAAGCTAAGCCACCCTCTTCCCTCCATCTCACTGCCTTTTATCCCCAAGCTCAAATTCAGTCCTTTAATCCCCACTCGTTTAACACCTTGAATTTTCTAGAGCTCAGTGACTTGTTTCTCAGCACACTGACAAAACAAAACTGTCTTAGGCTGCCTCGACTTTTCAGAAGTGAAGAATCTTCTGATATCAGACAGCAAAATAAAACCCATCTGAAACACCCCAAGCTCTTGAAAGACTGACACCTCTACCAGTGACTTCAGCAGAGTTTCAGCATGCTTTCTCAGTTTTTCTATTCTTGCTACCAGCTACTTGAAAGAAACAGATAGTTTCATGCTTGTTGCTTTCTGGTGCACAAACCACCAAGAATGAAACAGGAGCTAAATGAGAAATACATATTATCCTACTAAAGATGCAGTAAATCACACATTACTGATAGCTCTTCCTATTACAAACACAAGTATTTAATACACTGGTCAGTCCTGTTCTTCGTGGGTGAAATAGTAACTAACACTGCATCAAATTACTTTATATGCACTGTTTGGTATACAAGATCCATTTTACCCTGGCAGTCAGTTGTCTAAAAATAAACATGAGTTCAAGCAAGAAATAAAAACTTCAGATTCATATGAACATTTCCTGATTTTGAAAATTAGGTCCTATTTATTTCCTTATAATTACAATATTAAAGACTTAGGACTAAAGGTACAAAGGCTGCAGGATCTAACTTTTAGGAACTCTATCACCCAGCAGCTTTGCCAAGTCAAGCATCCAGGTTTCCTAGAGAAGGCATGCAGAAAATCAGGTACTCGAGACAAAACAACCAGAGAGCATCCAAAGAAGTGCAACAAAGATGGGACAGGGTCTGTAGGGCAAGGTGTGTGAGGATCGGCTGAGGCCCCTCGTTGTGCTCAGCGCAGAGCAGAGGAGCTGAGGGGAGGCCTGATGGCGGCTGCAGCTCCTCACAGGGAGCGGAGGGGCAGCGCTGAGCTCTGCTCTGTGTGACAGCGACAGGGCCCGAGGGAACGGCATGGAGCTGTCAGGGGAGGGCAGCTGGGGTCAGGGAAAGGGGCTGCACCACAGGGCGGTGGGCGGGGAACGGGATGCACAGGGCTGTGGGCACGGCAGTATGGAGCCAGGACTTGGACTTGATCTTTGTGCATGCTTTCCAACCCAGGACATTCTTTGCTCCTTTAAGGACGCCACATATACCAATCCATAGTAAATGAATGAAGCTAAAGTAGGAGACTCTAAAAACAACTAGGCATCTAACTCCTGCCCGAAAAGTAGGCGGCTCATAGCTCACAGCCCTAACTCCATCTCTCCCTTTCTGAAGTCTAATCACCCATGGGCGCCAAACTGCACTGTGCTTAGGACCTGCACCTCAAAAATGAGGAAGTTTTCAAGTCTGCTTCAAATCAAGCAAGCCAAAATCAGGTTCTCTCCTTTCTTCACAGCCTTCCACGAGCACACTGCAGGATACCCTCCTGCGTACTCACGGGTTCGCTGTGCTCTGAGAATGCCTCTGAGCAGCTTTATGGCTTAGGATTTTGACAATTTGGCGCAGGCTTAATAGAAGTAACTAAGTAATAAAGATGTGAATAAATAAGTAGATAGATACCACACACAGGTGCAGATATAAACAAAATAAATTACATCAAATTTAGGAATTTGCTGGCTATCAACTAAGCCGCCAAAATGAACTGGGTAGCTTGTCAACATTGTGCAACAATACATTTCAGCTTAAACATCTGTGAAAGAGGTTTTGAATCTGGATATTCTCCCTGCATCAAGATGCCACATTTGGACTACTATAGCAGCTCCCATTTTGGACATAATATGTCGAATCTAGCTCAACTGAAAACTGCTAACCAAGCAAACATCTGTTAAAACTTCTGATATTATGTGTCTCTGTTTATCAAGTCACGATGGCAGATGAAGCTGTTTCTTAAAGCTTATTTGTTTAGATGAAAGCACTGCAGATAATTAACACAGCAGAATGCAAAAACAGCTTTTCAAGGTGAAATATTTATCACTGCCACAGAGTAACAGGTGACTTTCCATGTAATTATACATTGGATCTTATGTACTTGTATAGTTGATAATATACTGTTGTTCTTGAGGCTTTCAAAATTGTTTCACTTATCAGTAATGGAAGTGGTGATAAGGTGCATTGAATCACTTATATCATTTTAGTTAAGACACACTCCCAAATCCTCACACAGCCTCTCAGGTTCAACCCTGGTAAGCCTTTGGGATTTATTTTGGGCCTTGACCTCCACCTACATGATCCTTGTTACATCATCTGGTAAGAGTTGTAGTTCACCCCCATGAGCGCTGTGTAGATTATGCATGGCAGCCAACAGTTCACGATGTATTAACCAGCGCAGGCAGCATGTGGATCTCTGAGACTGCAGAAATTAAGCAAGTGTGTGATTTGAAGATGCTTCAACTGTTTCTTTCAGTGACTTGAAGGTTTCTAAATTAACCTGCAGACTGTATGGTGGCAAACTCTCACAGAAATCAGCTTTGCATAAAAGCTACTGAAGCAACCCCAATGCTATGGAAAAATAACAAGCGGGCTGCACCACCACCATGCCCTCACCTACAACTAACACCTTAGAACACCAGTGCTTAAACCTTGTTAGCTCTTTCAAAAGAACACTTTTCAAATGTTACAATTCTCTGGTAAATCATATTGCATTTTCTACAGTCAGTAAGCACTGCTCTCTTCTAAAAAATGCATGTTATTTGCATTCATCACCTCATAAACCCAGCACTGAAGATCTGTCAAGGACACTTCTCCACACAGTACTCCAGGATGTGCATGCATTACATGCAACGCTGCATATTCATGTGCGTATAACTGAGTTTCAGAACGAGATGCATACAATTATCCTTGATCCATTCAAAGGCTGCATCCTTGATGCCCTGAAGCAGCAAAATAATCTTTTAAATAATAATCTTTTGAATGATTTGGCTTGGGTGTCCCTCTGTTTCTATGAATTATTAACAATACCTGACAGTTTTCTGATTTACTCCATTCTTTTTGCAGAATGCTTTCTATGAATTTATTATTTTTTAGACTGGAAGCTGTTCAGGAGAAAACAGCTGTGTACATTGAACACAGCATTGTAAATTACAGCACAGTAAGTTCCAGATTACAGCTGGGTGGACAACCAAGGCACACCGTGCTTTTTCTGTTGCCAGCATGGATTACCACGCTGCAGGTATCCTTGTTTACGTACAGAACACAAGCTCTTTGCAAGGCTTCTGGCTAAAATCTGGCCCTTCTGACATTTCCGTCAGGGTGTTTATTTGCCAAAGAAACTGTTCAAAGTGAACACAACGACGGCATGAATACAGCCTGAACACATCGGATTCACATTTCTGTAAGGATATTTATAAAAGGCAGTATTATAAAAGGCACATGCATGTGAATGTCACCCCTCAAACCCGCTCCCTGCTCACGCCATGCAAACTGCCCCAGCCATCCCACCTGGCTGGGGAAGGAAAGTGGGAGAGGCGATTTGTCACGTTTCACAGGCAGCAAAGAGGCAGTGGGCTGAAGAGGATTTAAGAGATGCTAATGAAAGAGACGGCAAGGCTGGAGAAGCCTGCAGGATAACATGCTGAACTGAAATGACAGCGCTGAGTGCAAAGTGGATGACAAAGCCTGATATGCACAGGGGTGCAGCAAAGGCAGAGCAGAGATGCTGACATGGGAGGATGCTGTGCCATCTTTTAAGCTGATGCTTTCTATCTCCTGATGCTAACCACTTGTTTGCCACCATTACCCATGGTCGATCAGACATCCTGACAGCCCGCATACCACTTGTGTTGCTTTCTAATCGGACGGCTTTAGCTGCTCTTAACATCATTTCTCCAGAGACTGAAAGCACCATCCGAATCACTCTTCCACACGAGTCACTCTTCCATGCATTCCTTTGGCTTTTTCCTTCCAGCCAGAGCTCAGGCTATGCTTCAAAGAAAGACACTGACCACAGCAATTACTGGACCTTGCACACTCGCAGGCACATTTTGACATGGCACAAGTTTTGCAAAAGATGTCACGCTACCAGACACAAAGCCAACGGCCATGTTTCAACCGCATGAAACAATTCGCTTTTGCAGCCCTCATAGCATTTGCTCCATTCTGTTTGAGCAGGACAGCCTCGGGTACATACCTGACCCTCAGCCATATACCCTACATACCGCAAGCCTCACGCTGGAGACACACACTGACCGAACAGCTGAAGTTACACCACAGGCACAAAAGAGCCGCCAAGCGACGTTCTCACTGCAAACTTAGGAGTTACGGTCTCTCACCCAGGCAGGACGCGACAGACGCTGCTTTTTCTCCTACTCACCCTCCACGCCTCCCTCGGCAGTATCCGGACCCAAACTTTCTCGGCGCCCGCTCCCAGCGGTGCTGCCCGCTGCCCGCTGCCGTGGGGCGGCGGTACCCCCGCGGGGGCGGCGGGGCGGGGCAGAGCAGCGCCCACCGCGGCCGCCCCTGAACGCGGCAAGGGCGGATTACGGGCAAAACCCGCGCGCGTAAGCCGGGCTGACGGGGAAAAGCCGCTCGAAAGGTTTTGCGATCCTGTTAAGCGCTCGGAAAGGATCAACATGTCAAAGCCGCCAGGCGGCCCCGGCACATTTCTCGCCACGCCGAGCCGCCTCAAACCCTCTCGGCCCGGCGGGCTGCGGGGGGCCGGGAGCGCCTCCGCCGCGGCACCGCGCTCCGTGCGGAGAGGGCGGGCGGCGAGCTCCGCGCCGTGCCCGCCAATCCCGCCGTCTCGTACACGCCGTCTCCGCCGCCAGAGCCCGGCCCACCCGCCGGCGGCGGCCGTGCTGAGAGGGCGGTTCTCATCGGTAGCGCTGCTGCCGGCTGAGAAGCCGAGGGAGCCCTGCCGTGCCTGCGGATCCGGGCGGGCAGCGTGAGGGGGCGGCGTCCACGGCGCGGGTGGGAGCGGCGCCTTCTCCGGGAGGGAAAACGTCCTCCGCTCGTGCGCTGCTGAGTGAATTTTTTTTCCCTAGTATTCTGCCCCTAAACCGATACCAGGCTAACTGTAACAGAATCACGGAATCGTGGAGGTTGGAAGGAACCTCTGCGGATCCAGCTCCATTGGAGTACAACTCCATACTAAAGCAGTTTCCTGCAGCGCGTCCCTCAGGAAAGCGTCCAGGCAGGTCTTGAATTCCTTCAGAGAAGGAGACCTCTCTGGGCAGCCTGTTCCAGTGCTCTGTCACCCTCACAGTAAAGTAGTTCTTCCTCGTGTTTGTGTGCAAGGTACTGTGTTCCAGTTTGAGCCTACTTGTTGGTGCTCCTTGTCCTGGAGCCTGGCCCCTCCAGCTGACTCCTACTCTTTAGATACTTACAGACAGCAGTGAGATCTCTCAGTCTGCTCCGAGATAAACAGCCTTTCTTCATAAGGGAGGTGCTCCAGGCCCCTCACCATCTTTGCTGCGCTCATAGCATCATGGAATCATAACGTCCAACCTGAATCTCCCCTGGTGCAACTTGAGGCCATCCTCTCTAGTCCTATCGCTAGTTACACGGGAGAAGAGACTGACTCTTACCATAACTTCCCTTCAAGTCATCGTGGAGAGTGATAAGGTCACCCCTTCTCCAAACTGAACAATTCCAGTTCCCTCAGCTGCTCCCCATAAGGCTTGTGCTCTGAACTGCTCAACAGCTTATTTGCCTTTCTCTGGACACTCTCTAGAGCCTCAGTGTCTTTCCTGTAGTGAGGGGCCCAAAACTGAATGCAGTACTCAAGGTATGGCCTTGTCAGTGCTGAGTATAGAGGGACAATCGGTTCCCTGTTCCCGCTGGCTGCACTATTTTTGATACAAGCCAGGATGCCATTGGCCTTCTTGGCCACCTGGGCACACTGCTGGCTCATGTTCAGGCATGTGTCAACCAACACTCCCAGGTCCATTTCTTCCACACAGTCTTCCAGCCATTCTGTCCCAAGCCAGTAGTCTTGCCTGGGGTTGTTGTGACCAAAGTGCAGGATCTGGCACTTGATCTTGTTGAACTTCATCCCATTGGCCTTAGCCCTGCGATCCAGGCTGTCCAGGTCACTCTGTAGGACCTTCCTTCCTCCAGCCATGTTGACACTTCTGCCAGCTTGTTGTCATCTGCAAACTTACTGAGGGTGCACTCAATGCCCTTATCCGAGTCATCAATAAAGACATTAAACAGGACAGGCCCCAGTACTGACTCATGAAGAGCGCCACTCATGACTCTCTAGAAGTTCCCTGTCTTTCTTGAGCTGAGGTCGACACAGCACTACAGATGTGGCTCACCAAGGCAGAGGAGAGAGGGAAGATCACCTCCCTCGCCCTGCTGCCCACACTCTTTTCAAGAGTATCCTGGCACCCCAGGATACCATTGGCCTTCTTGACCACAAGGGCACACTGCTGGCTCATGGCCAACATGCTGCTCACCAGGACACACAGATCCTCCTCTGCAGAGCTCCTCTCCAGCAGGTCAGCCCCTGACCTGTACTGATGCATTTTCCTCATTTTGTCACACTTAAGATCACTAAAGTCTTTCACACTCCTCTGAACTTCATCTGATTCTGATCATGCTTTTTGTCCAGGGTCCAGAAAAGCTGGAAACAAAATGCTGTGTGTGAAGGCTCCATAAAATGCCTCTTGAGCTGGAAAAAAATAGAGTTATTAAAACGCATGTCATTCATCACTGTGAAGCCGTTGCACACTGATTCAGGCAGATTGAGCAAAACACGACACCAAAAGTGCATGTAACTGCTTGGGTTCATGAAGAGGGACAGAATTTCCCATGGCTCTCTCTACCTTGAGAATTATTTCACATAAGAAAGATTAAGAACATCACACAACAAACACTAACCAGAGAAAAAAACCCAAAGTCTTAAAGTCCAGTCAGAAATTCAAGTCTTTCTGAAACACTTATCACAGCCATCTTCAGAGTTATAGGCTGGGGTTTTTTTGGTCAAAGTAGGAATGCACAGGAAGATAGAAAATCCCGAAGAGCTTTTTCTTATCCTTTGCTGCCTTACTGTCCCCTGTAGATTCCCAGCAGTTTTTTGGAAGCTGTGACATGAGAACAAGCCTACCAGGAGGGCGTGAAGTGCCAGGTTGTTGTTTTCCCTCAGAAGGCTCAGGCTGCAGGTTCTCCATTTAGGTATGTACTGTTTGCAGATCCTCGCTTCTTGTCATAAGGGTGTGTTGTCCCCCTGTTCTAGTTGCTATATGGAGGGAGCCTGGGCAGGGAATCCAGCAAAAAAAACTGTGGATATTTCCAAAAAGGCCTTAAATCTGATTCCTTAGACAGGGAACTTGAAGGCAATGAGGACTTGTGGCTGCATGATAAGTTGCTTCACCACTAAGTCTGGGATGCAGTTTGAATGCTAGTGCTGATGAATGCCAAGAAAGGAAGGCCACAGCCTGCAATTTAAGAGAGGACAAGTTCTCAGCTTGTACATTTTACCATAGTTTGGGAGAGAGATGCTGTTTCCTTGGTTTTGAAATGATTGGCTTCAGGTTGGTATTTGGCCCAGGAATATGTGAATTTGTGACATAGCTCTTACTTTTGGCACTTAACCTTGATAAAAATGTAGGTATGAACTATTTAAGGGAGGCAGTCAAAAATGAATTATACATGTATACGCAATTCTGTCTTTTGAACTCAGGTCCTTCCCAGATGCAAACAAAGCATGAAGTAAGGTTGTTATTGCCCGAACAAGTTCAGAGGAATGATTGTAAGAGGTAATAACACAGTAGTAAAGGAGATAGATTGATAGTCTAATATGCAGTAATAAGAGCTCATTGTATGTGCTTCACTGGTGACTGGCAAGAAGCAGTTTTCTTGTAGTGATAGTGATGGTATCTGAGAAACTATCATGGATTTTCAATCGAAGTATTCAAACAAACCTCAACAAACACATTTGTTTCACTGTCATTCCAGTTAAATGAAGCATTATCCAATGTTTTGGTAGCAGTGCCCCGTGTCATGAGATTCTCATTTGAATATGTTTGGAAGAACAGACAGAGGGAATCTGTGCTCTGTTTGTGTTCTTCTATCATTGGTTAAAATTAGGTTAAAGAAGAAAAAACATGAAAGCATGGCAGGGAATAATATAAATTTTCTTCTTTTTGCTAAGCTGGCTGCATATCCTAGTAATCTATATCTATTGGTGCATTTCATCTATCAGGTGCAGTTTTTCTCCAGAGAAAAATATGGAGGGACAGTCTGTCATATTAGCTTTCTTCCACTGCATGCACTGACTTTAGGCTCAACCATAACTTTACAGATAAAATAAGGAAGTTCCTAGAAGTGGCCAGTCACTTGGAAAAGTCACTAATCTTCCAGGGAAAATACCTGGATGCTTTGGACCAATGCAAATCAAAGGAATGTCTTCTCAGTGAGCAACACAAAGGCACCATATTTCAGTTATCTGAGCAAATACCTTCTGCACGTGGACAGATTATAATTGACCCAAAATAGAAACACTCCCTAAAGGATTCCCTTAAAGTTGCTTTAAGATAAGGGTCCAGTTCCATTTTAGATACCTCAGTTTACCCTCCTTGACCTCAAGCTGCTTTTCAAAGGGGGCCCAAGTCTCCTGTAGATCTTGTGTTATGTATGCAAGTCTCACTCAGTTGTTTCCCTTATTTATTGCATCTCAAGTGAGGTGACACCTACATTCATACAACTGAAACCCATTCCCATGTTACAAGTCCTTTAAGAATCTTAACAAAAAGATGTAGCCATATCTAAAATTACATTATTAATAGAGATCAAAGTCTCACAGAAGTAACGGTTTGGTTTTTGGGAACATGGGAAAGAAAGTTATCAGATGTTATCTCTACTCTTGGAAGAATTCAATTGTTACATACAGATTTTTTTTGGACCTTGAGTTACATGAACAGACCTTCATTATTTTTTTCCATTCTCAAGTACCCACTTTGGTTATTAAGAACAACAAAAATGAATGTCCATGTCTAGAATGCATCCCTTTACAAAGTCTGTCAGGATAATGTGATACTGGTGTGAGAAATTTTAGAGAAAGTACTGTGTTAAATTTATAACGCATCTTCATAATACCTCCATTTGCCTCCATTATTAAAAGTTAAATCTCTTTAAGTCTTTCATATCACAGAATTAAATCTTTGACAAGATACCTTTGAAAAGGTATTTCAGAAAAGCAAAAAAAGGTTTATTCTCTACGCACTTAACATAACATGCACGTTTGCTTAAAAATTGTTATTTTCCATTCAAGGAAATAGTGCATTGTCAATATAGCTACTTCATTTCTTATGTATAGGATTATTTCTCAGTTTTTAGGTGAAGCTCAATGACATGTGTTTAAGAATAGGTAATTACTTCTCCAAATGACAAGGGAGCATACTCAAATTAGTGTAGAAAAATTACAGCATGCACCGATTGTTTCCTTTCTCTCTTGGATTCTTCCTGGA